TATTGCAGTTATTCACTTTTTCGATATTTCGATTTCTCAGTTTTTCAATTTTTCAACTTTTTAGTTTTTCAATTTTCCAATTTTTCGATATTTCGAATTTTCAGTTTTCCAATTTCCCAAGTTTTCGTCATTTCTGTTTTGGAATTTTTGAATATCTTAGTTTTTCAGTATTTCGATTCTTCAATTTTTCAATTTTTGATGCTTCTATATTTTAGATTTTTAAATTTTTCGACTAATCGATTTTTTGATTTTGCAACTTTCCGATTTCTTGATTTTCTCATTTCTCGATTTCTCGATTTTTCATTTTTTCGATTCCTCAAATTCTCGATTTCTCGATTTTTTTATTTTTCAGTGTTTTAATTCTCGAATTTCTGGATTTTTCAATTTTCCGATATTTCCTCAATAAGTGATTTTTCAATTTTTCGATCTTCAAATTGTCCTAGATTTTTCAATATTCATTCGACTTCTCGATTTCTCATTTCTAGATTTATGGATTTCCCGATTTCTCTATTTTTCCAATTTTCAATTTTTTGATGATGACTTTTCGGTTTAGATTTTTCGGTTTTTTTTTTTCGATTTCTCAATTTATCTAGATGCCAATGTTCTCGATTTTAGGCTATTTCGATTTCTCAATTTTTCGATTTTTCTACTTCTCGACTCCCGATTTCTCGAATTCTCCATCTTTCGATGTCTCGATTTCTCGATATTTCAGTTTTTCAGTTTTTCAATGCTCCAATATCTCGATTTTTCAACTTTTCGGTGTTTCGATTTTTCGATTTTCCAATATCTCGATTTTTCAATGTTTCGCTATTTTTCAATTTTTCGATGGTCCAGTTTTGACATTTTTCAGTTGTTTGATTCTTCAATTTTTCTTCGATTTCTCAATTTTTTGTCAGTTTTGGGAGTTTTCTCTACCTATTTCGATTCTTCAATTTTTCGATTTTTCGACTTTTCGATGTTTCGATTTCTCGATTTTTCAGTTTCTTAACTTTTGGGTTTCTACCTCTCAATTTTCGAATTTTTAAATTTTACTTCTCCGTTTAGATTTTTCGGTTTTTCAATTTTACGATTTTTATAATTGTCTTCTTTCTTCGATTTCTCGGTTTATATGCATGTTTCAAAGTTTCGATTTTTCGGTTTTCCAATTTTTGGATTTGCCCATTTTTGTAATTTTAATTTTTTTCAATCTTACGTTTTTTTTTTTAATTTTAAATTTTTCAATTTTGCAATTAACATATTACTTTTCAATTTCTAGATTTTGAGTTATTTCGATTTCTCAATTTTGGGCTATTATTTCGATTTCTCAATTTTTCTTATTTTCTCGACTCCCGATTTCTCGATTTTTCTATTTTTCAATTTTTCAATGTTTCAATTTCTCGCTTTTCAATTTTTCAACTTTTCGGTTTTTCGATTTTTCAATTTTTGACGTTTCTAAATTTTCGATTTTTCAATATCTCAAATCGCGATTAATTGATTTTTTAATTTTTCGACTTTTCTGTTTTGAAATTTTCAATATCTTAATTTTTCAGTTTTCCGATTCAATCCTTTTATTTTTGGATTTTTTTTCAATTTTCGACATTTCTAAATTTTCGATTTTTCAATTTCTCAATTTCGCAATTAATTAATATTTTGACTCTTTGATTTTCCGATTTTTCGACGTTTCGACTTCTTGGTTTTTGATTTCTCCTTTTCTCGATTTCTCAGTCTTTCGATTTTCCAATTTTTCGATTTCTCAATTCGCGATTAATTGATTTTTTGATTCTTCGACTTCTCTGTTTTGAAATTTTTCAATATCTTAATTTTTCAGTTTTCCGATTCAATTCTTTGATTTTTCGAGTTTTTCAATTTTTGACGTTTCTGAATTTTCGAATTTTTCAATTTTTCAATTTCGTAATTAATTAATTTTTTGATTTTTTGAGACTTTGATTTCTCGTTATCTCGATTTCTCAATTTTTGGATGTTTCAATTGTTCCGATTTCTCGAATTTTCGAGTTTTCAGTTTTTCAATTCTCATATTCTAGTTTCCAGGTTTTTGACTTCTCAATTCATCCAATTTTTTTATTTTCGATTTTTCGACTTCGATTTGCCAATTTTTCATTTTTTCGATGCTTCAGTTTTGGGATCTTTCGATTTTTCGATTCATTTTTTCTTCGATTTTTAAATTTTTCAGTATTACATCAGTTTTGTGGTTTTCAATATTTTGATTCATCACTTTTTCCATTTTTCGATTTCTCGATTTTTCAATTTTTGGATTCTTCAGTTTTCCGATATTTTAATTCTTCACTTCTTAAAATTTTATACTTTCAGATTTTTCGCTTTCTCCATTTTTTGATTTTTCAGTTCTTCGACATTTTTATTTTTCAATTTTTCGAGTTTTTAAGTATTAGATTTGTTAGTTCTTTTATGTTTCGACTTCTCCATTTTATATCTTTTGGTTTTATTATTTTCGATTTTTAAAATCCTCAAATTTTCGATTTTTCGATTTATCGATTTTTTAATTTTTAATATATTTCAACTTTTCATTTTGTTTAATTTCAAATTTTTCAATTTTAAACTGTTCGCTTTCTCGATGTTCTGCTATTTCGATTTCTCGATTTCTCGATCTTTTGATGTTTCGATCTCCCGACGTTTCAGTTTTCCAATTTTTCGACATTTCAATTTTTTGATTTTTCAGTTCTTCGATATTTCTTTTAATTTTTGCAGTTATTAAATTTTACATTTTTCAGATTTTTGATGTTCTCAATCTTTCGATTTTTCGACTTTTTACGAGTTTTTAAATTTTAGATTTTCTAATTTCTTCATGTTTCGATTTCTCGATCTTCGAATTTTTCGACTCAATTATTTATATTGTTCTGCTTTTCAATTTTCGATTTTAAAAATTTTTGATTTTTCGATTTCTGAGTTTATCGAAATTTCGATTTTACAATTTTTCAGTTGACTTTTTTTAATTTTTAATTTTTCAATTTTTCGATTTTTAACTTTTCGATTTCTCAATCTTTAGATTTTTGGCCTCCCAACTTTTCGATTTCTCGATCTTTTGATATTACAGTTTTCCAATTATTCGATTTCTCGATTTCTCAATTTTTTGATTTTTCAGTTCTTCGATATTTCTACTTTCCAATTTTTGGAGATATCAAAATTTAAATTTTTGTGTTTTTTGACGTTTTAATTTCTCGATCTTTCGATTTTTCTACTTCTCGGTTTTATTTTTCAGTTTTTCAATTTTCGATTGTTAAAATTTCTGATTGTTCGATTTTTACCAAATTTTCGAGCTTTTGGATTTTAGATTTTCTGGATTTTTGATGTTTCGATTTCTCGATCTTTGAATTTTTCGACTTCTCCGTTTTATGTCGTTCGATTTTTAAAATTTTTGATTTTTCTATTCCTGGGTTTGTCGAAATTTCGATCTTTTGAATTTTCGATTGTTCAATTTCCCGTTTTTTCGATTTGATTTTACAATTTTTCAATTTATCGATTGTTTAGTTCCTAGTTTTTCAATTTTTATCTTTTGATGGTTCGATTTCTGGATGTTTTAGTTTTTCAATTTTTCGATGTTTTGATTTTTCGATTGCTCAATTTTTGGATTTTTCGACTTTTCAGCTTTTCAATTTTGTAAGCTTCCAACTTTTGGATATTTCGATTTGTTAGTTTTTTAACTTCCGAATTTTTCATAATTTCTGTCTTGGAATTCTTCAATTTTCGATATTTGAATTTTATATTTTTTAAATTCTAAATTTCTCGAATCTTCGATATTTCTATTTTTCAATTTTTCGAATTTTTATATTTTTAATTTTCAGTTCCTTGATTTTTTAATTTTTCTTTTTTTTGTTTCGATTTCTTTACTTGGTGGATTTTCAATTTAATTTAAACAATTTTTCGTCTAGAATTTGCTGAAGGAGACGCCACTGGTTTTTCGGGATTAGTTGGGAGAGGTAAATTCTGTCGAAACAACCATTTTTTTTAAGTCTGCGTTTGAAAAACACCAACCCATCAGCACTAAGTTGTTTGGATGTTAAATTCATTAAAGTCCTCGACGTAATCTCATTTCCAGCAACTACTCCACAACGAATTAAATTTATCCCCTAAGAACACAAAAGTCGTTTCACTCCCGGTCATCGACTTTTTCTCGTTGCACCTGCACTCACCGTGCGAATTTTTCCCTGAGAAAACGCAAAAGGTGCGAGTCGATCGCGCCCAATTACCATCCATGACTTGAAAAAAGCCTCCGAAATTCGAACCCGCACCGGAATTTACCTATCGACGAAAACCACGAGCCCAGCCACGATTCCCTATTATAGACACGTCACAATTTGCCACGACAAAAACGAGCAAAACCTTAATGGTTAATTCCGCATGTCCCGGTATGCTCCTGTGCGGCAACCAGATTTCTATCAAGCTGATTGTGATTTAAAGGCATTAACATGAGCAAATGGCTCATAAACAGACCTCACAATAGTCTGTTACTCGCAAGAGGAACAATCATACTCCATGCATCTTATATTCAATATGCCTGCAGTAATTTACCGAACACAATTAATGCTAAGAGCCTTATATTATAATTAAAAGTCCACAACGGGCAGTAAATTGTTGCATAACACCCACGCTCGATTCCGTGCCTCGTGACTTTCTAAAGCTGCAAAAAAGCTCCGAAGGACCACCGACGTGCCGACTAATCCTGGCCAAGGAACAGGATTTTCGAGCGTGGCTAATCCGATATAAAGTAGTTTGGCGATGCACTTTTCGGTTTGGTGTAATGAGTTTTGAACGAAGTGCTAGCCGCTGGCACGTGCCGTCACGCTGAAGTCGACACGTGGCCCCAAACACCCCCTTTTTAATGCGAAGTCATTAATAAAGTGGATCTCGCAAATCCTCCAACAAAAACGCGTCTTCTTTAGTTGAAATAGTGTCAAATTGTTTGATTATGCTCTGTCTGCTTGACACGCGACACAAATTTCTCTGTAAAATTTCGTTTCGTTCAAGGATTGATTGTCCTTTTGCAGGATTGTAAGGAACAAAGCGGCTGAAAAAGCGAAACATGCACACCAAATAGCGACTAGTGGAGGGACGACGTCGTCTTCGGGAGGTCCTGTCTCTGTTATCGCACACGCACCTGCGACGCAACTTACGGAACCTCGCTCTGGAGCGTATAGTATAAATGGAATTCTTGGGCTTCAGCACGATCCGAACGGAAATAGCATCAAGAGGAAAAGGATAGAGGATCACGGTGAGTTCGAATGCGCCACTGAAAAATCCTATAAACTTCACCTGAATGTGTTTGTGCGTAGTAAAGATCGGTAGTCCTTTTTGGTTTTATTCCGGAATTAAGGATTAGTCGGGCTTAAAGGAGCCTGACAGTGATAGAGTTGGTTTTTGATTTGAGTTTCATTGTGTTGATTATTTTGCTCCAAGTAATATATATTTGCGGGGGTTGTTTACTAAATTCTAGGACTTTGTTGCCTAAACTTTTGTTTGTTTGTTTCAGTCATGACCATTTTTTTGAAATATAATTGTTGTACGTCTATATTATTGACAATTTCTTAAATAATCCGAAATTTCATTGTAATCTTTTATATTTATGTACTGTCAAGGCAAGCGTCAATTTTTTCTTTCAGAAACAAAATAACTAGAATTTCCAAAATTATGTTTATCCTTTTTTTTTAAACAGAACATCAAAATCCAGATTCTTTCAAATTTTTTAAAAAATAAAACACTAGGCTAGAGATTCTTTCACATTTTTTAATATATATAAAACACCAGGATCCCCAAGATTGTCGGAAATAAAACACTAGGGACCTCCAAGATACTTCCATTTTTTTTTTTTCAAAAACACATCAAATAGGTGGCCCGAGATCCTGATACTTTCATTACACCTTCCCAAGGGAAAATGTTAAAAATATAAAAAACATCAAAATGAACTCAAAGAAACTATTAAAAACAGTTATTTAAAAACAGATCTAAAATAAAAAAAAAATCCGATTATACAACACCAAAATCCCCAAAATTCGATTATTTTTCAAAAATAAAACACCATAGACCTTCAATATACTTTCGAGAATCTGACGAGATCTCAAGGACGACTCATGTTGTTTTTCAAAAAATTCCAACTGGTGTTAGAGGTCCTTGGTGGGTATTAGTAGTATTTTGGGAAAGATTTGAAAGAATCTTGGGGACTCTAGGGTTTTGTTTTTGAAAAAATTCGAAAAAATCTTTGGAAGCCTCTCTGTACTGTTAAAAAAATAGGATAAGGGGGACTTCTAGAGTTCTATTTTCGAAAAAATTTCAAAGAATCTTGGAGACACTAGGTGTTTTATTTTAAAATGAATTTGACGGCAACTCCGGGGCGCCTGACGTTTTGTTTTAGAAAAAACTTTGAAAGAATTTTGGAGCTCACTCGAACAAATTCGAAAAAAATATTGCACACCCCCGATGTATTATTTTCGAAAAAAATTGAAAGAATTTTCGGGGTTCCTGATTTTATTTTTAAATATTAGAACACGAATTTGAAAGGATTTTAGGCGCTGCAAGTGCTTTATTAAAAAAAAAAATTGAAAACATGTTTGGGGTACCTAATATTTTTTAAATATGTTAGAAGTAACGTTCGGGCTTTGTTATTTGAAAAAATTGAGGGAATCTTTGGAATCGTGGATGTTTCATTTTCGAGAAAAATTTAAATAACCTCGCGGCTTCCTAATGTTTTGATATTGAAAAAAGTTTGAAAGAATTTTGGAGCCCGTTCGAACAAATTCGAAAAAAATGTATTATTTTCAAAAAAAATTGAAAGAATCTTCGGAGTTCTTGAGTTTATTTTTAAAAATTAGAACTCGGATTTGAAAGAATTGTAGGCGTTACAAGTGCTTTATTTAAAAAAAAATTGATAGAATTTTTGGGATCCCTAATATTTTTGAAAAATATTTAAAATAACCTTCAGCCATTGTTATTTCTGAAAACTGGGAGAATTTTCGGATCCACGATGTTTCATTTTCAAGAAAAATTGAAAAAACGTTGAGGGCTCTTAATATTTTGATTTTGAAAAAAGTTTAAAACAGCTCTTGAGGGCTTTCAGCGTTTTATTTTCAAGGAAAGGAAGAAAATTCAGTAACTCCTAGTGTTTTACTTTTGAAAATATTTGACACACTCCTGGGTTTTACATTTGAAAAAAAATCAAAAAATCTTCAAGATCCCAGACCTTTTGTTTTCGCAAACATTTCACAAAATCTTCGAGCCTTGTTTGAAACAAATTAAAATAATCTTAACAGCTCTTCAGTGTTTTATTTTCTAAAATATTTGAAATAAGCTTCGGACTTTGTTATTCGAAAAAATTGAGGGAGTTTTCGGAATCCTGAATCTTTTATTTTCGAGAAAAAAATAAATAACCTTGGGGCCTCCTATTTTGATTTTGAAAAAAATTTGAAAGAATTTTGGGGCCGGTTCGAACAAATTAAAAAATATTGTATTATTTTCGAAAAAAATTCAAAGAATTTTCGGGGTTCCTGATTTTATTTTCAAAGATTAGAACTCGGATTTGAAAGAATTTTAGACGTTGCAAGTGCTTTATTAAAAAAAAATTGAGAGAATTTTTGCAATCTCTAATATTTTTGAAATATAGTTAAAATAACGTTCAGCCATTGTTATTGGGATGTCCAGGATCCAGGATGTTTCATTTTCAAACAAAAAGGAAAGAATCTTGGGGCCTCCTAATATTTTGATTTTGAAAAAAGTTTAAAAAAATTGGTGAGGGCTTCTAGTTTTTTTTTTTTTAATAAAATAAAAAAAAAATTGGTAGCTCCTAGTATTTTACTTTCGAAAATATTTCATACACTCCTGGGTTTTATATGTGAAAAAATTCAAAAAATCTTCAAGGTCCCAGACCATTTGTTTTCGAAAACGTTTCAAAAAATCTTAGGGCCTTGTTTGAGACAAATTAAAAAAATCTTAACTGTTCTTCAGGGTCTTATTTTCGAAAATAATTGAAATATTCTAGGCGATCCTACATTCCAAAAAATTTGAAAGAATCTTGGAGGTTCCTAATGTTATAGTTTGGACAAAATTTCAAAGAATCCTCGGGGTCCCTGATGTTTTGTTTTTTAAAACGAGTGGAAGAGATCTTGAGGGCTAGAAGTGTTTTATTTTCAAAAATATTTGAAAAGATCTCGGAACTCCCTAATATATAATATATTTTCGAAAAAATTTTGAAACATTTTTGGGCGTAAGTGTTTTGTTTTTGAAAAATTCAAAAAATCTGGCGACTTTTAATGTTTTCTTTTTGAAAAATTTGAAAGAACCTTGAGTACTTGCAGTTTTATTTTCAAAAAAAAGTGAAAGAATCTTGGGGGCTCCAGATGTTTTGATTTTAGAAAAGGTTTGAAAGAATGTTGAGGGTTTCTAGTGTTTTAGTTTCGAAAAAAAAAAGGAAAGAAACTTATAGCCCAGTGTTTTATTTTCGAAAAAATAAAGAATCTTGGGCGGTATTAGTGTTGCACTTTCGAAAATATTTGAAATCCTCTTGTAACCACTGGTGTAAAAATTTTGAAAAAATTTCAAACAATTTTTGAGGTTCTCGTTTTTGAAAGAATTTAAAAAAATCTTGAAAGCCTTGCTTTTTTTTTCGAAAACATTTCAATTAGGTATGCGACGGTTTGATAATATAAAAGTATACTTATAATAATATGTAGCATATTTCAGGTAGGCAAATTTTTGGGATGACGTCATCATTTTTTTGTATTAACGATTTTCAATACTTACGATGATGTTAAAATATTCCCAAAATTTCAGACCATTCGGTTTTCTAAGTTAAATTAGAAAATGTTATACAATTTGGATTTTTTCCAAAAATCTGAATGTCTAAGGTAAACATTCGACACGGGTTCATAAACCACAAGTACAAGAGTGCCTTATTTTATAAAATTTAAACAAGATTTACTATTGTATCGTTACAGAAAGATCATTATTTTACTAGCAGTACTAATGTGTGTCTGCCTGATACCAAATATAGTCTGCTACATAATAATAAACCAAACATCCATATAATAACATTTTTACCATCTATATCTAATCGATCTCAACCTAATCAAACATTTACGTAAACCTGGCATCCTGTCCCCGCAAAATATTTTCCCAGCACAGCTCCCTTTGTTTCAAAAATTTTCTGCCCCATTCACTCACTCTACACACATTATAAATAAAGCAGCGTTTACATCCGATTAGTTCTAGTTAACCGGCATCCGTCCGACTTTCCCACGTATCGATTTGCGATTTGTCCGAAAAAAATCCTCCTCATTTGGGCAAAAATCCCGGACGAAAAGCAGCCACTCAAGTATGACTCTGTGAATAGAGAATCCACAAGTAGAGCTCGATTGCATTTAGCGTAAATCGTATCAGCGTGAAACAAGCGAGCGCTGCCCTCCGCCGCCTCCCGGACCAATCAGCGCCGGTGGCGGATTATGAAGACATCACACGCGTTGCTACGCGACCGCGAAACCCCTATATCCACCCAAATAAACCGCCGCCGACGGGGGCCGCCCCGCCGCCCCCGCCCCGCCGCGTCTAGATGCCGCATATGCTTAGCGAGGAAATTCGTACGGGGGCGGCACGCGAAAAAACGTACGAGGGGGCAGATGGGCGATTTGCATAGTTGGGACGACGCGAAAAAGGACAAAAAAGGACATGCGGGATTTAACGAAAGGAAAATATGTGTTTTTTGTGGAGAATGGAGAATGGAGTGTCGACTGCGGTTTCGCCGAAACCTATAGAGGGTCATAACGTGCGTTTTTTCTAAGTCTCAGTCTATATTTAGGAGTTAGACACATGTTGGCGTCCTAACGACCACCTCTAAGGTGAAACCTATCTGCTGAAACCTCTAAACGTGTCGACAGCTATTTCTACAGCCGTTTGTCCGTTCCGCAATCGCAAAAATACAGAGCCGCTCTGTGGAGCATACGCTCAAATTAAGACGCGGCGCCTCAAATGCTCCGGATCTGCAAATCCCTATTCTTAGTCCACTAATTGGTAGATCTGCGTTTGATATATGCGCTCAAAGACCGGAAGATAAGTGGACCGAGCAATATGAGGCGTTTTTAACTCGGACGAATTAATCAAACTTGTGAAATAAGGAAGCGGTCTAGTGAGGTGTGAAAAAAAGCGGCAGGGAGGAGTTCCTCGGGTTCGGGCGGACGTTTAAGATAATGAACGCTAATCAAACGTAATCCGATATCCCGACCCTTGTCT